CAATTTTATACAACTTTCTTGTTTTACCTATCTTAATAAGAACTCAATTATTTTTTTTAAAATAAAGTACAAGTACTGCAAACATGTATGGCATGACACATAAGCTGTCAGACTGGCTAAGCTAAAATATGTTTTCTTCCAAAACAATATCCGTCTTCGCACATGATCAGAGAGTCCAAAGTTTAAATAGAAACATTGTGATAATTAAAATGAATTAAAACACAGTAGCACAAATCGAAAGTGAAGTATTAACACTGCAATCTCGTTAAACAAAATACAAGTGTAGTGTATTTATAAAACTGGCATTTTTAAAAAAATTAAAAATCATGTTTTATCAAGCATCTACTATCAACATAAAAGCAGCAATTAAGTACAATGATTTACCCATCATTTTCCTCTAATCTTCAGTTGAATTTATAATTGCAAGGTAAAACTGATGACACTTTAAAGAATAAAAAAAAACTCGCGACAATTATGTGGGCCCTACAATTACGTCTTTTATAGAAGATGAATATCTTTGAAAATTTCAGTAACTAAAACCCATATTATCCCAAGGTCTCAAATTTTTATAATTTTTTGATATGGTTAAGCTTTTGGGCACTGAATGAAGGAATGACTATGGATTTTTTTTTTAAATCAATACTTTTTGAAATATCGATTTTTTAAAAAACGTCCCATAAATGGGACGCTAGCAACGAACGGCCCCATGTACATTTATTGAAAAATAAAATCATTTATCACGAAATATGGCTAATCACGCGAAAATTAAGCTGTATACTGATTTTGTATTGTTAGACCAATGATTACATTGTTTAGGACAGCTAAAAATACTGAAAATGATCAATTGGGTTAGCCATACCATGGTCTAAAATGCAGAAATTATGTTCAAAAGTCTAGTTTTTTTCAATCTAGCATCCATCAAAGTGAACAACACTTGGAAATAAGTAAAGCTGTGACTAGTACATCTAATTATACACACATGATCACAAATATTGTTATTATTCATCTAAAATGTAATATAATAAAATATAAATAATTGATTTTTTGGCGGGGCGTACTTGAAATTTTCAGGGGTGGGGACTTAATTTTCAGGGGAATGGTGGACATTGGTAAAAGTATGTTTTGTATATCAATTCCATTTTTTTCTGGGGGCAGAGCCCCCTCCCCCTCTTCCGAAATGATGCCTGAAAGAAACTCTGCCCTCAGTGAATTTGCAAAAGATGATCCGGTCCAGTCCCAGATGTCATCCAACCATCTTCTCTTTTGTTACCGTCGCTATTCCCCCCCCCACCCTCACAGGCGTACATTAGGACATCAGACATCTTATTTCTAGGGGGCTTGTATTGAGTGCTCATGGCTCTCATCCATGTACGCACCTCACTATGTGAACAGCTCCCAATCTAACACCAGGTATCTTCTTAAAAAGTTAACAAAGTAAAACTGGTATCGGGAACCTTTGGAGGGGAATAGTATTGGGGCATGACAACTGTACACAGCTAATTCACATTTCTGCTATATGTAGCTTAAGCTCTCTTATATGAAGAGAGTTAACCAACCCCCATGACTGAATCATTTCACCTAAATCGTGGCCATTGTTATTATTCTGGTTTGTTATAATTTTAATATCACGCGCTAGTAAATTTACAGCAATACTAAATTCGTTTGTATTCAATGGTATTAAATGCTTCAGTAAGTGTAATTCTGAAAACTTAAAAATAAAATGTAAGTTTTTCAATATTTGCAATTTTAAATACAATAATATATAAGAAAATATAGCTCAAGGTCATAATTAAATATCTATAAATACTACTTAACACCCAAAAGTCAACAGTTTACAAAGTCAATAATTGTTTCACCATAAATAACCATTTAACATAAATATTTGCATATGTGTTTCACGCTAGTGTCCAATAAATGTGACGTTTGTGTAACAATCTGCATAAATACAGGTCAAGGTCATAATTAAATATCTATAAATACTACTTAACACCCCAAAGTCAGCAGTTAACAAAGTCAACAATTGTTGCACCATAAATTACTATTTAGCATAAACATTTGCATCTGTCTTTCTCGCTAGTGTCCCACAAATGTGACGTTTGTGTAGCAATCTACATGGTGCCATTCGTTGCTTGCGTCCCACTTATGGGACGCTTGTTGTACACTTGATATAACGAAGTAGTAAAAAAAAAATGTTATTCTTAAATTTTTATCAGATAGAAATATGGTACTGCTACAAGTTTCAAATGTATTTTGCACTTAAAATGTTAATATTTTAGAAGATATGCATTTTCCTATGCGCATGTTTTCGTTTTTCCGCCATTTTGACAAGTCCTGCAAATCCGGCACTATAACATTTTTCTAAATTAATTTTTTTCACAAAACACACACAAATTCAATAGTCTAGCCATTTTCAAATACAATGAAACATAATTTGTGTTTTAACTAGTTTTTAAAAATTTTTAGCAATTTTTTTTACAAGCGTCCCATAAGTGGGACGCTAGCAGAATATGGGTTAACCGTATAATGTTACGGTAAATAGCTTGCTATATTGTTTATAAGTTATGAAGTATATAAATACCCATGGTGATTTCGGAGAAGAAACTTTATAACCACGATAAAATATTCAAAGATTTACTTTTATGTTTTAGGCAATTTGGTAGGTTGAAAATTATTTTTTTCTTCATTCGGCTTCTCATAAAGGGCAAAAATTCTTGGTGACAAAGTATATGACAGGAAAGACAAAGGACTACAGTAAGAAGTTACCACCAACATAAAAAAACCTGGTTAAAATTGTAGTAATTTAGGATAGCATTGTTTTCTAACACGAATTTAATAATAGCATCTTGCTTTGTTTTCCATTGTCTTTCAGGTTTCATGTAGTAATCAATTCATATAAATTACAAAATACAATGGCTGTTCCATCGGAAAACGTCAGCATAGTATTCAATTATATTAAAAATCAGGGAAGAATTGGCCTATTACCAAAGTTAGTGTACAATGTTTCTGATGAAGTTTATTACTACATAGACATGGTGATAAATTCTTTCTTGCTCCCGCTTTGCAGCTTAGCTGGGATCACAGGAAACATAGTTACGATTATAATATTGATCTACAACGGATCTACAGTCACAACAAACATAGCATTAACAGCCTTATCAGCTTCAGATTTACTGTATTCAGCAACACAGTTTCTGCTTCGAGTTCACAGATTCATTGAACCTGTCGATATCTATAAAAGCAAAACAGCATTTGTTTTCATCCGTGTGTATTTATTTTTCTGGAAACAGTCAGCCCTGTCGATCAGTATCTACCTCGTTTCGATCATCGCCTTAGAACGCACGATCGCAGTCTGGTTACCTTTCAATGTTGCACAGATTATAACTTCTTTTCGAATGAGTAGTCTTGTTTTCACCATTTACATTATCATATCCTTGATTTACGTACCTTATCAAATAGCGTACAGTATAAAATGGATAACGATTGACAATACAAACATTACAGTTGCTGCTCTGTATATCAATAGGTATTATTTTGACAATGTAGAATTTTATGAAATATATCGAAAATACATTATCGTATTGCTAAATGGAGTTCCTGCTGTGATAATCTTCATTTGCACTGTGCTCATAATTCTAAAACTTACAGTATCTACAAGAAATATTAAGAGCCTCTCTTCAACAGAAACATCAGTGAAGAGACAAAATGATATGAAATCAATCAAAATCACTCTAATCCTTTGTTTGAGCTTGATTGTACTGGTGCTAATTCCGTCGAATACGTTTGATCTTATCTTTTCGTATGCAAATCCAAATCCGTTTAGCGGAAATGCTATGGGAGTTATTGTTTATTGTGTTTATCTCATATTACAAATTAATGCATCGATTAATTTTATCATTTATGTAACGATAAATACGAAATTTTCTAGAACTTATAAACAGCTATTTTGCTGCGCGAAATAAAAAAAACTGAATTACGATGTTACTATGTTAAAAATATTCACTTTTATTAACGTAATATATTTCCAATTATGATTCGTAGTATTAAAATTGTAACCACTCAGTTCTCTTATCACTCCCGTTTGGATGTTCCTTGGTTACATATAGATTTATTGTTGTTGTTAGTTGCCACTGTATGTGCCTACTTCTTACTATAAAATTTGCAATACAATATTTTAAAATTGATACTATAACCAGAGGCGAATCTAAGGGGGGGGGATTAAACGTTAGCAGCCTAGCGCTCTACAGCTTAGACCACGCCGTGTATAGACATAACTACGAAGTGTATATATATATATATATATATATATATATATATATATATATATATATATATATATATATATATATATATATATATATATAATTGTCTTATATTTATCCAGTACGTTAAGTGCAGATCTTGTCATGGTTATAGCTGTAGAAAAAATGATTACTTTATGGTTTACTATTAAAGTTTCAATATTAATGTTGTATTTAAGAATGAGTTATGTTGGTTTTTTTAAATGTATTTGGTTCTTCTACACACGCCATTTGCTTTATATTACAGTCTAATAAATGACGAGTGATAATAACACAATCGTTTACGTCGGAATATCACAATATGCAATACATCGTACATATGTTGTAATGTTACTAAATGCAGTCGCTCCTATGCATATAGTTACGGTACGTTCTTCTTTGATAATTTATAAGGCATCCTTGTTATCTAGAAAAGTACACTATTTCTACTGTCTAATATCTCAACCATACCCTAATTATTCCAACTAAACTATTTTCTAACAATATCTATCTGCAACTGCTTTCTAACACACGACTGACCGCTACACGCTCCCATGACGCTTCGAGATATATATATATATATATATATATATATATATATATATATATATATATATATATATATATATATATATATATATATATATAAATAATATCATGAGTTATTACGAAAAGACTGCCTACTGTATAAATATAATGTTTTCAATTTTATTGGAGCCAGCATGCGATTTAAAAAAAAAAAAACATTAAAAAATTGTATCTTTTGTAAACAAATAACAACATTATAAGGTGTAAAACTAAAAAGATAATTATGCCACATTATTAGCAATATTTTTAGTAATTTCGATTGGTCACTACACCTATAAAAATAAAGCCACAAATTATAAAGTAATTGACAGCAACTAACGAATCTCGATATATCTATAACTAACCCATCACATTCAAATTTAAGGTCTCACTAATCTGAGAAACACTGAGGCTGTTTCTAACAGTACACGAATAGATTCCTGAGTTGGTAACAGCTGCTAGTGTTATTTGATATGTGAATACAGTCTGTCCCGCATCACTCATATAGCCACCAGTTGCATTGAAAATGATCTGACCATCCTTGTAGAAAGTTGCAGAAACTACTGGAGTACCAGTAGAAAGGCAGTATATTGCAAAAGATGAACCAGCTTGTATTGGTGTATCGGCAGTGATCAAAATATCTGGCTTGGAAGGTACTAGTCCAACTGCAGACAAGAAGCAGCATTAATAATTTTAAAATTATATATAATTTTTTATAAAAATAAATTATTATACAATTTCAAATTAGTTTTAAATACCCTTTTTTACTCTCTCGGATATACGAAGTATAGAGAAAGTATTGTAATCGTGCACAAAAATAACATGAAATTTTGACAGTTTTCACCGTTTTACTCCTCAGTCCTTCATCACATCCGGAGTATAAAGGACTTATTTTAATCAGGCAAAAATTATAAATACAAATATATAAACATTTTGGCGTTTTATGCGTTATCGAGTTGTAAAAACTGGACTTTGCAATTCTGTCCGTATGTCTGTGTATCTGAGTGTCTGTCTGTGTGTAAACACGATAACTTGAGTACCGTTATAGCTAGGTTGATGAAATTTCGTATATAAATATTTTATCAAAATCGTAGATCCTGATCAACTTTTGAACGATTTCCGATAAACGGAAGTGGTACTTTTTTTTACTTTGAACTTTTCAAAAGCCTACAAGTTGCGTACTATTTTAGATAGATGCATGAAATTTCACACGTAAGTAAAGGATCTCATTCTCTACCTTCTGTCAAATTTTGAGTAATTTCCGTTTACCGGAAGTACTAATTTACGCTATTTCCGATTTCTCAAAAAAACGCATGTAAATTTATAAAGTACTAATAATATCCCGCACTTTTATAAACATTTTATTAGGCGTTCACTTGGTGTGGGACGGAATGGTCTAGCGGTAGAGAGCTGGACTGCTAACCCGTTAGTCTCGAGTTCGAATCCGAGTTCAAGTCACTACACCGTCCCTGAGTCCACCCAACTCTGATGGGTACCTAACTCCTGTTAGGGAAAGTAAAGGCGGTTGGGCATAGTGCTGACCACACTATCTCTTCATATGCCTAGGTCACAGAAACAAGTGAACTCTACTTCACTTGCCCCATTGACCGTCAGGTTTGAAAGGGAAACTTTTCACTTGGTGTGTAATTCTTTTTTTTCTACGATATTCTATTCTATTATAAAAAGTTTAAGTAATTAAAAATGGATAACAAATATTGTCTATGTCCTGAGTTGCCATCCCTCGTAATTTTATATTAGAATATTCGAGAAAGTTTAGGGGAGATCACTCCCGGTTTATTTAAATTTACTTATATTAAAAATATAATTTTATGCTCAAATGTGTGTATAGATTTTCAATTCCTGTTTCATCTAATTAAATGTAAATTAAGACGATTCATTTCTTATTTACTGTGCATTGTTCTTAGTTTTTTTTAACTCTGCATTGTAGCACTAAAACTATAACTAAATTTTGGTTTTAAATTTTTAGCTGCAATTATAGCTGAGCTGCTTACAATTAATGATGAATTCTGCACTCATAGGTGACGTCCACTCCATATGTGTTTGTTGACATGTGTAAGATCCTTCATCATATTGAGATATTGTATTCAAACTGAGAACATTTGATGTAAATCCCATATTGATTCCATTTTTTCTCCAAGTAATGTCAATGTTGTTAGATTCCACAAGAGTGTTGCAGGTTAGGGTGAGATTAGCACCCAATGAAGGAGATGGCACAGAAGAAGTAATGGTTGGTCGATCTAAATAAAAGAAAATATCTGAATTCAATATATTAATATTTGTTATTACGACCTTTACTTTGTTCAGTTAACATTTTTAAAAATAAATAATCGTTTAATTATTATGCCGTATTACTATATATGCGAAGCAATATATGAATAAAATATAATAATAAATATATATTAACAAAAGTGTGTAATGCTTACCAGTTATCCTTACTAAAAGAGAGTAACTCATAAAAGATAGCTGTGCTTCACGGCTAACTTGACACGTGTAATTGTAGTCTCCTTTTGAAAGTCCAGAAATGGTAAACATACCATTTGTGTTTGCAGGCTGAGTAATTTGACCATTTTTATATAGAGTAAAATTGTAAGGCGACGGATTCATACTAGCAATCTGGTAGTTAGCTAAATGCATGGCTTGAACAAAGCACCTACAATAAAATTACAAAGATATTTAAAATTAAAAAAAAATATTAACTACAGAGCTGGGAATAATTTTGTATAATACATAATAATTCCTTTTCATTAGTTGTTTTTTTTGTAATAACAAATCAACGGTTTTCTTAAACTAAAATATTAACATTTTTTTTAAAAATTAATTATTCACATTTATTATTACTTTAAATGTAAAGTATCTCCTTCGCCAAATGTGTAAAATACAGGTCCATCACCATAGCCATAGTATTTGTTCTTTACGTCAAGATAGCTGGCATCAAACAATAATATTGGTTGCAGAGGTGGTAGCACTAAGAAAACATAATATCAAACATTTAAAAACTCTTAATAGAGTTACGACAACTACGATACCAAACTTCTATTTATTTCATGCATTTCTTTTAAAAGTATATGTGCCCAACATTTGATAATTATAATCTGGTTAAATATAATCACTGTAATTAGTCACGTACATGAAATTAAAATTGGATCTGAAACCTTCTCCAACCAAAAATATCTGTCATCTTCATTTGAACGATTGGAATAAGTGCAAGTGTAGAAGCCATGATCCTCTACTGTCAGAGATGTGAGGGACAAAGTAAGTCCAGTTTTCAGTATGTTTGAGAAATCTTTCTGCCACGTTATAATGAAGTCTGGTTGTGGTGACAATATGTTGCATGTAAGTGTAATGTCATCTCCAGCTTGTGGATTTACGTTGTTCATGGTAACTTGAGGCTTTTTAAATCCTGAAAATATATGGATTATAAAATAAATAAACATTATTTTTACGTATCTTTTGTTTCCTTCAGTTCAGGTTACGGTTCTAACTATGCTGGGTGATTTGTTAATAAGTTATGTAGCTTTTGTTAACATGTTATGTTTGGTTGTGTTAATTTTTTGTGTAATTAGATTATGTTATATGTAGTTTAAATTAGTGAATGTGTTGTTGGTTTAAAAAAAAATAAAGATTGGCTCCACATTTTCGTTTTAATTAATTGGATTAACTATCTAAAGTTTAGCCACGGTTGCCCGTACATACAAGAATAGTTTTAATCGTCTCTATGGGTACATTAGGAATTACCCCCCCACCCATCCCTCTCCCCTGTCGTTGTCGTCAAGGTTTATTTATAAGAATAGGAAAAAGAGTAAACCAGCCCACCTAAATCTCTAGTAAAGTACACAGCCTTTGATGGCTGAGATTCCCCCACTGAGTTGAGTGCTGTACAGGTATAGTTTCCTTCATTAGATGCTACGCTTGTATCCACTGAATAGATCCTTCGTATGTTAAATCTTCCCGAGAAGTAAAGCTCATTCACATAGGGCAATTTTTTTACTACAGCTCCATTTTTATAAAGACTGAAACAGATATTGATTGTTCAATGAATATCCTATATTACAAAATGCATACACTTTAAATAGATACACTTTAAATAGATATGCACAGTGGTAAAATATTGATAACAGAAATCATAATCCCAACTGTATAAACAAAATGCTGTTTCTATTACATCTAAATGTATAAGAATGTTATGCTATATAATGGAAAGGATGGTCAAACAGTAAATTATTTAACTGTTATTTCAAAAGTATTGAGATATTTTCTGTTTGACATACTATTACATAAATCTATCTAGCCACATTAAATACCGGATCAAAAAGCTGATAGGCATAGTGCTGATCTCACAATGACTTCCGATTTCAAAATAAAAAACTAAAGAAACATTACATTTTGTCATCTTCAAGAACCACCAAAACTGAATGGCTATTTTATTTTATTTAAAAATAAGAAGGCAGTAATATGTCATTAAAATTGTAAATAAAACAATTGTATTAAATGAAAGTTCATTAAAAACAGAAATCAAAGTTATTTAATAGTTCTTGAAAAATCACAATTAATGTAACAACATTTAAACAAAAAAAATAAACAAATTATTAAATTTATTTACCGGAATGGATTCTTTCCATCGATTATAAGAGTGTAAATGTAACAAACAAATCGCACGATGACGTCTGTTTCTGCAGCGCTGGTACTTAATAGAATGGAAATACTCGCCCCTTGATCGCCTTTTATAGCTGGATTTCTTAAGAAGATTTCAGGTACACTAGAAATTGAAACTGAAATCATAAGTAAATATATTTGTAATAAAACAAATGAGATAACACAATAAAAATTAGTTTTGAGATATTACCCTTAAAAATGTTTTATATTAATTACTATGTAATTTATCATTGTTACAATGGGCATATTTTTAAAAATTCTAATTACAAGTAATCAATTATTAACCTCAATAATCGATATTTCCGGTTGAAAAGAAATTTGCTGAATATATAATTAAGAATATAAAATAATGTATAAATAAAAGTTTACAAAAACTTAAAATAAACATAAAAAAGACCAAAGTAATAAAACATGACTCACCAGCTAGAACATAATAGTCATATACTGTGTATGTTGACTCTTGTTTTGTAAAATGACAAATGTAGACGCCTTCATCTTGTATTGTCAGCGGATTGATGGTTAGATTTTGAGACATCACAGTATCCATGCCTGCAATTCTGAAATGTATTTATTTTAGATATATATGTGATATTTACATTTAGACCATTTTTAGATAACTTTCCGTTTCAAATACATGATCATTTACTATATGTAAAAATATGTAAAAACATAAAGTAGTAAATAAGTTATAAATAATTAGCTCTTTTTCCTAAAGGTTTTTATTTTAAAATATAATCTAACATGTTTGCTCATGAAACAAAAATGTCTCTATCAGATGTAACATGATATCTTCTCTTTCATCCTTCTTAATTGTAATGTTGGACGGAATTTCCTCCAGCGCAATTAATTAAGTATTTCGTGTCATTTGTTATGCACCATATAGGCAGTTGTCTCCTATTTCAGCATACTTTTCATTCTAGATTTGCTTTCCTAGATTTTGTCCACCCAAGAACAAAATACAAGCTAGTGATTGTTTGATTTTTGCGTTTTGTCTACTAGATGATTTGCAGTCCCGAGCTATCAAGCCTTTTTTGTCAAGGGTTCAAATTCGGGTCTTTTCGGTTTAGTAGCCGTTAGCTTTATCAACCCGACCACTCCATAATATCTAATGAATTTTGTTTTAGAAAAAAATATAACAGTTACTTATGTATTTCCCAAGAGTAAGATCCAGATGACTGATTGTTTTCAACACTGCAGTTCAATGAAAAAGGCTGACCAACAAAAGCCACAATACTGCTAGCAGTTATATAAACACTCTCTATAGCAAAAAAATATATAGAATAAAGATAAAGGATTAAAATAATGTTTACACATATTACTTAAAAATAAAAAAATAGCATAATAATATAAAGTTAAAATTTGTGTAATTAACTCTGTAACTTATTCATTTGTGTAGAAAAATGGATTGCTAGTATAAACATAAATTAATTAAAGTTTATTTAGATGTTAATAATTTAAGTTATAATTCAATTAAATGTATAAAATTTATAAGCTCTTAAAGATGTATTATTACAATGTAAATAACAAATAAACATTTGAAATTTTATATTTTAAACCTTATTTCCTATTAATAGAAAACAAAATATTAAAATATTAGTAAAATATTAAAATTAGTTCTTACCCATCTTATTTATAATAACAGGATCACTTGGCTCACTTTCACCAAATCTGTTTGATGCAGTGCATTTGTACTGAACTGTAGCTGACTTGGACAGAAATATTGTGAATGTGTTGTTGCTTGCCGGTTTAGTAGACACTTTGATTCCGTTCATATATAATGAATACATCTCAGCATCATCACCAATACAATATAAATTTGTGGAGACGGTCTTTTTTAAACCCAATTTTGACTTTTTATTATTATTATTTAAAGAGGGTTTAGCTGGTCTAGAAACTGAAAGCATAAAGTGGTTCAAATGAGAAGGAAGAACAAAAGCTAAAAAAATGCTATAAAAAAAGACAATTGTAAAATCACAATATTTTGCTTTAAATTTTGTTTTTATTTGTTTGTTTATATATTCTACCTAAATTCAAACTCACATTAAACATCACTATTATTCAGAATGTGAACATTTTTCCTAGTGTAGGTTTAAAAATACATTTTACTCTGTAACGCAAATAAATATAAAAGTAAAGAAAAAAAAGCCAGAATATTATACAAACCACGGATTAGGTAAAATTCACTCCATATATCCGATTCATTAATTTTAACTCTACAGCGGTAAGACCCAGCCATGCTACTTGTTAAAGTAAACTCATATGTGTCATTGTTTGAAGAATAAACTAAATTATCCCATTTGTACCAGAAGTATGTACCACTGGGTACATCTGTGATACACCTCAGTGCAAAATTTTGGTTCAAGAAAAAATTCGTGGCTGGTACAACACGAGGTTTGTCTGGAATAACATAAAAGAATAATGTAAGTAAAAATGTTTAAAAGTCTACACCTCTACATTAAATCTTAGAGAATTTCATATGTTCCTATTAAAGCAAAAATGATAAAAAATGTTATTTACTGTAAAATGTGACTTGCACTGGTGGACTCATGAGCCCAGTTTTGTTATAAATATTTCTGGTGCATGTGTAGGATCCACTAACAGCATGTGGTCGAAAAAATCTACAGTCCTCAGCATCAACATATCTGTTACAGGCAAACAATGTTTTCAATTTAATGCATAAAAAGGTAGCTGGATTGATCGTCCCTGAACTTTTTTGTATATTCTAATATAACATCAAGGGGGGTGGCACTTTTATTGCAATATTCTTGAAAAGTCTATGTAATCATAAAAAAGCGATACAATTATAGTTTTAAAAATTACAGCTGTCTGGGAACCATTGATCACAGTAATTTTCATAATTTTGTATTGAATATAAGGCGTTGAAAAGCCTTTTAGAATTATTTTATCAATTCAAATATTTTAAAAAGTCGCTCCCAACCCCTCCTTTAAGTCTACCAGAGTGGCCAGGGAAAGTAAAACAATGAAGGTCACAGCAATTGTTTTACGTAATAGAATATATAATAGCAGTCAATAGGGTATAGCCATGTTGTTTCTTGATATTAAATAATATAACATCCACTATCACCACAACACACTGACTCTACTATTCCAAATTAAAAATAGAAGTGTTAGCTAAATTACTAATTATATTACAAGTAATTTTTTGTTTAAATATTTCAGGCCTTGATGAAATCGGAAGTTATTTTGTACTTATTTCCAAATGTGAATAGAATACAATCGATTAGAAAAAAGAACTGCCCACCAAAATGAACGTAAACAACGTGTGCATAATTAAGCTATATGTTAGTAAAAAGGAATGTACTACTTCAGTGCACTGAAAATCACTCAAAATTAGATTTTATACCAACGTATAAAATTTCGGTTATCGGAAATTGTTCAAAAGTTAAAAGAAACCTGTGCGTTGTTCTTAAAATGTGAAATTTCGTCCACGTAACTTAAACGGTGCTCTAGTTATTGGTTAAACAAATAACTTAAACGGTGCTCTAGTTATTGGTTTTGGAGAAACCGGAAAAAGTGAAAGTGCAGCTTTCGATTAATGGAAAGCGATCAAATGTTGAAACAGAAATTTTAAAAATTTGTATAATATTTATATATGAAATTTCGCCAACTTAACTAATACTATTAAAGATTTCGTTTTCACAGACCGACATGGACGAAATTGCAAAACTAAGATTTTCTGAATAATGTAAATCGTCACATTTTTAAAAATCTCTATTTAGAAATTTCGAATGATTTCAATACATCCTTTATATTCCTTAAACGATAAAGTAGAGAGGTGTAAAATGGCGAAAACTAACAAAAATCTATTTCAATTTTGTACACAATTACAATAATTTAACTTCATTTCTTTATTCTGTATACGATACTGGAGAAATTCAAATATTTATTACGAATATTTTTAAAAGAACGTTCTAAAACTTTTTAAAATTGATTTTTGTTCCCCAAAATGTGTGTTTTGAGTTATTAACACTTTCAAATATTCTAAACTGATTTTGTTAAGTTAAAGTTACATAGTTTAAGGAAGATTTGGCTAAGAAATATATTTTTAAAATACCTTATCTTATTAATGAACAAAGTGCAGTAGCTTTTTGCTCCACGAGTCGTTGATAGGCAGTCTGTTTGAGAGTCTTGTTCACCTTTATACATTATCGGAGATACGTCTAGCAGAGATGATTTAGCAACTTCAGCATCTAGAAAGTTGAATTGAACACTCTTATTACTTAAATGTAAAACCTTAATATTAGATTCTTAGCTTTTACTGATTTTAGTCTTGTTAAAAAACAAAATGTAAATACAAGTTCCTGTTTATAAAATCTTTATCAAGAATACCCATCAATACTTGCTATTGTAATTTACTTTTACAATTTGCAAAACGCATTTTTAAAAAAATGTAATTTAAATTATAAATTCCAATCTCTACCATTCACTTGAATAGATCCAGGATCACTTTGGACAGACTCTCCTCTTTTGTTTGTAAAAGTGCATGTGTAGTTTCCAGAATCTCTCATAGTTATTATTTGAATGAAGAACTTGCCATATCCTAGACTTCCATTTCTTTCTGCAACTTTTACGCCATTTTGATACAGAAAAATCCTACAATGGAACAGTCATAATATAAGAATGTAAGGTTATCACAATTAAATTTTAAAAAAAAACCATTCAACATTTTTTTTATATTAGCCTTAAGTATAAAATTACGATATACTATCTTATTAAAATATAAGTAGGCCTGTTTAAAGTTTGCCTAATTGCATGGCTTACTTAAGAAGACCAAAGTTCAAACTCTCATTAGCATTGCACCAAAACATAATGGAAGATCCCACGTTGACTGAGGAATTTAATTGTAAGCTTTGTGAAGGTTTCCCTGGAGGCGTTACTGCAGAAAATGTCAAAAAACATTAGTAAAAACATTAGTAATTTATTTTAAAGTCATATTATGTACAAGGCATAATAATATGTTTGTTTTTAAAAACACAGTATGTGTTTTCCCATGTAGTCTAATTTCTAGTCAGATGCAACAACTGGAGAGGGTTGATGATTGTTTGGTTCCAAGCAAAGTGATGCCAAGAATCATCCTGGAGAGCTGGAGTGATGCCTTAGACAAATTACTTATTAGTTCATGCACTGACCACATTGCTTCCTTTCACCTTATTATTGAACAGTTCCTTGAGTAGCTTTCCCCGCTATACATGACCTTAGTAGACTTTAAGGCTTTTCATAGTGTAAATAGAGGTGCTATCAGAACGCTAATGAGCCAGTATTGTATACCCCTAAAACGTATATATACCGCACATAAATTATATGGAGATATGGAGACTACCGTCAAAAGAAATGAGTCGCAACTAATACCAGCAAAAAAAATAATTCTAAATAATATTTTTTAAATTTATTTTCTTTCTTTGTTTTTTATTTTTTTTATTTTTTAAAAATCATTATCTCGGACACAATGTTTTTATAATAATTTTAAAAGTTCAAAAAATAAACTCACAAACTAAAATAAAACTTGTACTCTGCAGCTCCCTCACACCGTTGATTTTAAACGAGCATTTATATTCCCCAGCATCATCAGCGCTGATATTTGTTACAGCGTACACTTGTTCAGATGCATTGGCTAATCGATTCAAATCTCTAGGAGGAAAAAAAAGTTCCCATTAATTTTTAGCTTTGTAAACACGAATACAAAAGTTATAATACGCCGCTATCTAGTTGTTTTATTTTCTACTTATCAACAATTCATAATTCGCGAATTCGACACTATCCCAAGCCCCCCCCCCCCCCCTTCCACCCCACCCCGCCCAGTGAAAGCAGTCGTTTACAGAAGCAATGAAAAAACTAAATTATCTGCCCCTAATGACCGTCACTTCGAACCGGCTCTACTGTTGTAAACATTCGGGGTGAACCACAGCTCATCTGACAGGTGGGGATGAGGGTGGTGGCTAAGCTGCGTGGTGTATTCTATGGTCTCCGTGAAGAGAATTATATAAATATATAAGCCGACCCGCGGCGTATCATACGCCGCTATTTAGTTGTTTTATTTTCTACTTTTCAGTAATTCATAATTTGTGACTTCGACAGTACCAATGCCGCCACTGAAAATATAATATGCTTTAAAACACTATCAGTAAGTTGTTAAGGACGAAAAAAAAACCCTTACCCTAATCCCCCCCCCCCCCCATGAAAGCAGCCTTCTCTTAGTTACCTCACCCAGGTTTCCAGCTAAATTATCTGCCCCTAATAGCCGTCACTAAACCCGGCTCTACGATTGTAAACCAGTGTTTCTTCCAGACTTTTTTTCTCCGGGGGGGGGGGGGGGGGGGCACTTGAAATTTTCGGGGGGGGGGGGGGCGGTAAACTTTCTTCGGGGGGGCGGTAAACTTTCTTCGGGGGGGGGGGGGGCGGACACTGTTAAAAGTATATATTTTCTATATAAATTATATAAATTTCATTTCGTTCGGGGGGGTGGTAAAAATTTTTCGGGGGGCATAGCCCCCCCCCCCCCGAAGAGATGCCTGGAAGAAACTCTGTTGTAAACATTTAGCGTGAACCACAGCTCACCAGACCATGTGAGGGTGGGGGTGGTTGCGATATGCCTAGAGAGGAGAGAGGGGACTGCTAGGCGCGCTTACAGCTTGGTGTTTTCAAACGTCTCCAAGAAAATAATTATATATATAGATAGATAAGAAAGAAATACCATATTATAGACATAGTAAAGAGGAATTCATAAATCAGAGCCTATCAATATTTTAAAATTTTAAAATTTCTGTTAAGCTTAAATAAGTTTATAAAATCTCTAGGCTACACCTCTTAGTTTAAACCTTACTTGAACCAAGTAAATTTAACTCCTAGAACTTGAATGGGGAGTTGACATGTCAATGTTACATCATCGCCTATTTGTGGATCATCGTTGGTTGATATCAGAGTTGGTGGACCTGAAATTCGATGTTTTAAAATTAGCCAATATTTGCTAGTCATCTTAAAAGTCACATAATCATAAACAGTTGTTGTTTTAAATATTATCAAGCAGAGGCGTAGCGACCTTTCCCGGCGCCCGTGAACAAACTTTCGATTTGCACCCCCCCCCCCCTCTCAAGATTTCGATTTGCATCCCCCTCAACCTTTCAATTTATTTTTCCAACCCATCTTGGCGCCCCCTAAGGTCGGCGCCCGGGGACATATGCCCCCCCCCCCGCTACGCCTCAGTTATCAAGCATTTTTATTTAAAAACAAATGCAAAAAAAAAGTAAATATATTTAAGGACTTTAAGTTAAATAGTAGGACTTCTTGTTTGAATAAAGAAATAATTTTTTAAATATTTTTTTTAAAGTAAATAAACTAATTTTTGAGTTTTTTAAAGAGATGTATTGACGAAGAAGAAATATTGAAATTTTACAAGGCAAAAAACTTACCCACGGTTATTAAGAGCAGGCTGTTGCTGTGTGCAGATTCACCAACAGAGTTTGAAATAGTGCAAGTATAGTTTCCAGAATAAGCATCGTTATATCGATTTCTAAATTTAAAATTAAATATCAGTTATTATATTGCAACATGTGTGTCAATGTGCATTTCTGATAAATAAGCTAAGTAGCTTAGCAGTCTCCGCCGCCACACAGGGGGTGACTGAAAGAACTAGGATACTACGATGTAGACAAGCCAGCGGCGTAGGCAAGGGGGGGGGGGGGGGTTATTGGGGGTTATAACCCCTCCAAAGGACTCACACCCATATATATATATATATATATATATATATATATATATATATATATATATATGATTTTATACATATGGAAAAATATTTGAACCCATCCCATGACCAATTCCTGGCTACGCCACTGAGACAACCCTCCAGACCGCTTAGCAAAACATGTAGCACCCCCCCCCCCTTCCACTTTTCCACCCCTTCTATAGACAAATCTTTCGAAATGAAAAAAAAAAAACTAGCTTCTTCTTGTATTCGTATGAGAAAAATATGCCAGCTTAATAGAAGCGTCCAAAACGCTGTTGAGTCTGTTAATAAGTAAGAGTAATCTATGATAATCTTTAATATATATGAGATAAATATAAAAAAAAATGTGTAAACTCACACCGAGTAGGTATGCCACCTATCTCTGACTTTTAGTTCACCATTTTTATAGAACTGGTAGGTTAATACGCTGTCTGAACTGGAGCGACAGGCTAGGTAGAATAAGAAATCGGTGTAGGCTACATAAGGGCCGAGTTCGCTAGACTCAAGTTTCGGTGCATCAAGTACATTGTCTGTTGAAGAAAGGGTATAGATTAATCTCTGATATCATAGCATGGGCGGGCTGTAGAGTTTACTGCTGCTAACTCGAGTTCGAATCCTCTGGCTATAGTCTGTTGGACGTCCCTTAGTCGAGCCGTTTCTAAATCGTACATAACTCACCATAGGGAAACTACTGAACCAGATAAACTACGTCTTCTGCCCCATATGTCTGATAACTATTCTAAGGGTGAACCATGCTGTATCTTCTTGTGTCACCCACCTAGAGTTTCTTTCAGGCATATATTCGGGGAGGGGGGGGGCGCACTCTAACCCCCCCCCCCCCCCAAGAAATATAATTTATATAGAAAATATAATATAATTTTTACCAGTGTCCGCCCCACCCCACCCCCAGAAAATGTAGTGCTCCCCCCTCCCGAATATTTCAAGTGCCCCCAACCCCCCCCCCCCGGGAAAAAATTCTGAAAGAAACGCTGTACCTGCCCTTGAGACACCACTGCCATCCACTGCAGTAAAATTGAATCTTATACTGGTTTTACCTGTAGGCCTATATGCTTTTCTAATTAAATAAACCGGGAGTGATCTCCCCTAAACTTTCTCGGATATTCTAATATAAAACTACGAGCGATGGCAACTCAGGACATAGACAATATTTGTAATCCATTTTTAATTACTTAAACTTTTTATAATAGAATGGAATCTCGTAAAAAAAAAGGATTGCACACTAAGTGAACGCCTAATAAAATGTGCATAATAGTGCGCAATATTATTAGTACTTTATAAATTTACGTGCGTTTTTTGAGAAATCGGAAATATCGTAAATTAGTACTTCCGGTCAACGAAAATTACTCAAAATTTGACAGAAGGTAGAGAATTAGATCTTTTACTTACACGTGAAATTTCATGTATGTATCTGAAATAGTTCTCAAGTTATAGGCTTTTGAAAAATTCAAAGTAGAAAAAGTACCACTTCCGTTTATCGGAAATCGCTCAAAAGTTGATACGGATCTACGATTTTGATAAAATAATTAACCTAGCTGTAACGGTACTTAAGTAATCGTGTTTACACACAGACACACACACAGACACACAGACATACGGACAAAATTGCAAAATTATGTTTTTCTTATCAGTGAGGTGTAAAACGTCGAGATTTGTAAAAAATCTCGATTTTTTAATTTTTTTTTTGCACGATTACAATACTTTCTCTATACTTCGTATATACGACAAAGTAAAAATGTGTCCACGGCTGCCTCCCAGAAGTCTCGAATTCTAGTTCTTCGCTTGAGACGACAGGACGTCTAGTTAGCGAAAATAAATGCGGATGGGCATATTGTTTACCACGCTATCCCTTCATATTCTGAATTTTAAAAAAAAACAAGTGAACTCTTCTTCATCTGCCGTATGAGCTTATAGTCAAAACGGGTAACTGTATTTATTTGCTTTACATACATTTTAATTATTTTGTGGCAATGTTTAAACTGTTTTTGTAAATAATTGAATGGTTACAATGTTGATGTACTTGTTTAAAAACATGTTTAAAAAATTGATGACAACATAGTAAAAATAATGGCCTACGTTTTTGAGTCTCTACTCTAGTCAATCCGAGAAGGAACAAGAAGAGGAACATCATGTTTCTTCCCTTCATCAAAAAGTTGATTGTATGCTGAAACAATAAGGTAAAGATACTACATCTATAGAAAAACTTTGCCACAAGGTCATACATTGAGTACAAAAAATCCTCAACAAGTTTTTAAAAGTAAACTCAACATTAGAATCTACATTTTTAAAGAAAGCAAATCGGTTACAGCATACAATTACCACTTAACTAGGAGAATCAGTCAACCAGTCCAATAAAATATGTTTTGGAATATACACTTCGAGGCGGGGCGGGGGTTGCGGACCGCACCGGGTGACACCATTTAAGGTAAAATTCTTTCGCGAATTTAATTGATGAACTTTTAAGTACTAATTAAGTCTTTCAAGTACTAATTGACGATTACGACGATGAGATGAGGATGGGGGGTTGGGGGGGGGGGGGGTGACACATGACATAAACCTTTTAATTTTATAGAAAACATCGCCTCAACCGATTGTTGATAAACATCGATACTATTAACTGTGCACACTTCATAACTATTACCCGGGGATTGAGTGTGACACCAACTGCAAAATTTATAGAGGAAAAGTTGGGGTGAATATTTTCAATAACCGATTAGTCAATCAACAACGGGGTGGAGGTGAAACCATATCTAATAATTTACTATGAAAACGGTCTTTTTTCCACATGAATCAATAGGTGAATTAAAATAATGTGTTCACAAAGTCACACTAGTTGCAAAATTATATATATATATATATATATATATATATATATATATATATATATATATATATATATATATATATATATATATATATATATATATATATACCCTATAGGTTTTTCGTTTGGGGGTGGGGGATGACACCATAGGTGCCTCAACGGGTGACACCCGACCTAGCAACGCCACTGTTCACATACACTGCAAAAATTTATTATGTCTATATCGAAACGAAGACTTACCATCAAAAGCACTATTTTCTCTTAAAATTATTATTAAACAACAGTTCTTTATCAAATGTTTAAAACACAATGTTATAACCACCTTTATTTAAAATGACTAAAGAAATTATTCCATACTGTATAGTCAGTCTAACGTATGTAAGCGTTTTTTTTTTCTACGAACAAACCGTTCCCTTGCACTAAAACTCCACTACCTAAACACTTTTAAGCAGAATGGTTGCGATTACTCGGGCTCATAATTTTTTAGCCAATGGTGTCACTCTAGACTGCACTAATTGAACCTTACATCTGACCTTTCTGTCACTCGCATGTCCCCACACCTAGGTGTATCCTCTTCAAGCTCAGGTGTTAAAGATAGGCAAACCGTTTCACACCAGGTATAATAATTTTTACTTTAGGCTAATCCAAAGTTTGTGGCCTAATTTGTTTTTATCCAATAGGAATTTAGATCCTGTTTATTGTGTAATTAATTAAACAAGAACAAACGAGAACCATTATAGATTAGGAAATTAAATGTTAAAAATAATATAATAGCGCGTTTGTTCATTTTTAAATTGTAACTAACATGTAATATTAACAGACAATTCTTGCTGGTTCAAGTGTTAAAATTTTGCTATGTCGCAAAACGTTATTGGGATGGCTTAATTTCAAATAAGCTTTGTAATACAATATTGTTTACAAATGAAGTGTGTTGCTGGGGAGACGGGAAGGAAATAATGAAAAGGGGGAGGGGGATAATAGTTACATCACTAAATAAACCCGGGAGTGATCTCCCCTAAACTTTCTCGAATATTCTTATATAACACTACGGGGGATGGCATCATTACATGATTTTTAATCCCTTTTTAATTACTTAAACTTTTAAAAAAAGGAAATGAATCTCGTAGAAAAAAAAAATTGCGCACCAAGTGAACGCCAAACAATCTATGTATAATATTGCGGAATATTATTAGTACTTTATAAATTCACATTCGTTTTTTATTTTGAGAAATCAGAAATAGCGTAAATTATTAATTTCGGTCAACGTAAATTACTCAATATTTGACAGAAGGAAGAAAACTAGATCGTTTACATACATGTGGAATTTCGTTTATCTATCTGAAACAGTCATCAATTTATATGCTTTTGAAAAACCAAAAGCAGAATAAGCTCTACTTCCGGTTACCGGAAATCGCTGAAAAGTTGATACGGAACTACACATTTGATATAGTACTTGTATATGAAATTTCATCACCCTAGCTGTAACGGTATTCAAGCTATCTTGTTCACAGACATAAACACACACATATACACAAACGAGCATACGGACAGAATTGCAAAGCCCAGTTTTTCCGACTCGATTACGCATAGAACACCGAAATTTTGATAAATCTGCATTTATTATTTTTGCCCGATTAAAATAAGTTCCCTATACTCCGTATATCATGAAGTACTAAAAAGTGTAAAACGATGAAAACTGTCAAAATTTCATGTGATTTTTTTGCACGATTACAATACTTCCTCTATAATCTGTATACGAGAAAGTAAAAACGATGCAGTTTATCTTAGAAAAGACATAAATACCATAACTTACAGGTAGTCTAATCATTTAATATTATAAATTATATATTTATAAAATTATTTCCGTAGCATTATCCAACAATAGCTAAATTTGAACACGAACTCATTTCACTGCTAGTTGACGATCTTATTTTTTGTTGTTTTTTTATTGCTAGATGCAAATGCGACAAAAAACTTAACAAATACTTTACACGAAGCTGCATTATAAATACACTTAAATCTTTACCTTAATTGTCGTAAAGAAAACTATTCATCTGGTTGTGGTTTGGCCACTATAAGGGGGGAACGGAATTTAGAGGGTTTAACAAATGACTATAAATCTTAATCGTAATTAATTTCAATTTTATTTTTAAATTTTGTACGACTTCGCATTAATTACTCATATACAAAAAATGCTCACAATTTTATATTTTATGCAATGGTTTATCACTACATGCAACGTAATATATAGCGGCCCACAACAAACAGTTGAACGATAGTGAAATTAAAACATGCAGTAAAGTTACGCTTGCTCATTTTTATAAGGTAGAATATTAGGTAAGTACCTTTCCGAACCTGAACGTTTACGGAGCAGGGGAAGTAGAGTTCACCTGTTTCTGTGACCTAGGTATATAAAGGTATATTGCAGCCAACACTGTGTCAGCTTTAGTATCTTTAATGAACATAGGTATCAATCAGACTTGTGTGGGCTCAGAGACTTTCTACTGATTTGAACTCGAGGCTTTCAGGTTAGCAGTCGTATACTCTATCGTCCAACCACGCGAACCCACACCTGACATTTAGGCCTATTCATAGCGTATATACCTGATTTGAGATTGCTTATAATAAGTCGCATAACATCTCAAAAAAATTAATGTGCATATACAATTTTTAAATAGGTTCATCATATAATGTGTAAATGAATTTCAAAAGATGTTACAAATTACATATTTGTCTTTGTGTAGCAGCATGCAAATAATAATTTTAAACGTTTTAGAACATTTTGGAGTTACTGACAAGTAGATTTAAAACAAATGATTGAGGTATTCAACGAGGAAAAAATTCGCATTAAAAAGAAAATTATATTTATAACTCTGTTAGTTATAGTTAGGTTGTCAGGATGTGTAAAACAGATATCAAACGCGTTTAGCGGAACAAGCACTTAACCTACCAACTTAAATCAATTGAACTTATTTTAAAATCATTTTGTCTTTTCTCAGAACCGCATGTCGAAACTCACGAGTACAACAATAAAGGTGAGGCGCTACAGAATGTTATACAACGGATTTAAAAAATCTTTAATCTTTGTTTAAAAACTTTCTCTCTCGTAACCAGTATAATTCAGCCATCAAGATCGATTGTTTTACGTGGTAGGTTTAAAGAAGGCTCTATCACGTTGAAGATCTACCAGACGTTTTCCTCCGGAGAGGGGGGGGGGGGGGGGGCTCACTTGAAATTTTTGAAGGGGGCAGACCAATTGTTTCCTTTGTGGAGGGGGGGGGGGCAGGCACTGGTAAAAGTATATTATACCTTTTAAGTAAGGGGGAGGTGCGATTGCTTTTCTTCGAAAAGGGTTTGGGGGAGGGGGTGGGGCTTGCAATCAAGCCAATCTCCTTTTCGCGTACGTAGGAATATTAATGTGTACCCAGTCTGTTTATTTGTAAAGGTGTTGACTATAATGCGACTAGAACAACAAGTTATTATTTGACAATAGTGAAACCTATATTTAAAGTAAACAATTGAGTTCGGTCAAAGGCGTAGGATTAATCTCTTAGCAATGTGGTCAGTTCTATGCCCAGTGGCCTTTACTTTCTCGAGTGTGACTCCGGTACCCATTAGAGCTGAGTAAACTTAGGGGTGACTTACGCACTTGAGCCCAGAATTCGCTCATGAGAAATTCGAGGCGAACTATTAAATTAGCACCACATGTGCGACACATGTGCGAAAAAGCGCAACCCCCCCCCCCCCCATTTTACTAGTCAATATCCCTTGACAGTTGTTATTACGATGTTTGAAATTGAAAGCTGTTAAGTTAGTCAGGAATGCAAGGCAGTAGTCTATTTCGTTTTAAAAATTCGACTGTACATCGTTCAGTTATGCTGCTCAGAAATGGCTTTTTAATAATTTTTTACCCCGTTTGGCGCCCCCTTAGAGTTGTCGCCCTCTATAGCAGCCCCACCCGCCCTCCCCTAGCCACGCCTCTTTCTCGTGGATATCAGTAATGCACTCTACGCCGCCCCATATTAGTGAATAGCAGTATTAGATTTTTGTAAACAAAGATGCTAGCTTGTTCTCGTAACTATACGTGCTCTGGTGGAATACAAACAGTTTACGGTTTGTTATCGCTCTCTTTGTAAAATGATATTACGTTTACTGTTAATGACTTGATTTGTAGAATTAAATAGATATAAATGTAATCGTATTTATAGAGATACTCCAGAGTTAAATAAGTGAGCGACATGGTGTAGCGGTAGAACGCAAGCAGTTAACCCGCAAGTCACGTGTTCGACATACTGAACGCCCCCATCCCCCATTCTAAACAGTTGACAGAAAGTTC